GAGAGAGAGAGAGAGAGAGAGAGAGAGAGAGAGAGAGAGAGAGAGAGGTGATGAACAAAGTTGAGCCGACCAATCAGAAGGAGGATGGCAAGGCACCTCTAGATTGACAGTTATTGTATGAATTTAAGAACTGACGTGCTCTGCTTGGTGTAGTGGCAGCAAAGCTCTTGGTTTGGCTGTAAGGTAGCAAGTGCCTGGTCCAGATTAGGTTCTTATTAGCTAGCAGTGCTCTGAGTCCCCTAACTAGCACATTGAAACTATCTACCGGTGGCTAGTTCCCCTCAGCAGCTGTGAAACCCTTAAAAGCAGGGTTTTTTGATGTTTTGAATCTTCTACAGTTACCACTTAACTTCTACACTATAATTCTAGTGTTGGAAATATTTGCAAGAGGATATGGAGAAGGCTGGATGGAGATCTCACTGCTGCAATGGGAGCCCATCCCGAGTCCCAGACAGAATTCAAAGCCTGTTTGTAACTTCCGGTTGCTACTCTATAGGACCTATCTTCAGCTCCTCAGAACCAGCCTTCCCACAACAGTTTGTTTCTCTGTCCTTGGCAAGGCATTTGGTCCATAGCTGACAATGGAAGAATCTGCTTCCTTCTGTACAAGATACAAGATCGAGGAGATGGTGTGCTTTCTTCCCTCCCTCCTGGGATCCTCTTAGTGAGTTGCAAATGGTTTTGTGAAGGGGACTTTGGTGTGAGCCCAGTGGCATGAGTTGTGGGCCCTCAAGTATAAGAATCCTCTACTACATGGACCCTGGTCACAGAACTGATTCCATTTTTCCCGTGGGCTTTGCTGTCATCTTTCTCATCTCTATATCTACTTGGTTATTTCTGATGAGGAATAGCACTGAAAAAGAGCAAAGAGAGCAGAAACTAAATCGTGATGTAAAAGCCAGTCCAGCAGATCTGTTCTTTGGCCAGCCATTTGCTTGGGAGGGCTGGACTCCCTCTGGCCATCATGGAAGACAGGTACAAAAGAGCTTTAAAAGCAGCAAACCAGTCACTCTGGCGACCTCACAAGGCTTGTTTTTGGGGGTTACGAGGAGCAGGCAAAATTGCCACTATCCAATAAAAGAAATCGATGAAGCTTTCAGAGCACAGCGTCCTTGAGAGCGGCAAAAGCTTACACAAACATCTCTAACTCTTACAAAAGGAGGCTGAGGAGAGCTCGGGAGAGCCAAAGGAAGTTGTCACACCCAGCCCACACCATGCGACATGTCTATTCCTCTTCATTTTCTGAAGGGGGAGAGAGTACAGTGTTTAGGAGTATGGCCCCTCAGTCCAGCCCTCCTGGTATCAACCCCAGTCCTGCCATTTGCTATGGAACTTCGTGGAACTCACCTGCCCTCCCAGAGTCTAGATTTCTATGAATTTGTAACAGCTACTCAGAACTGTGGGAGAGGGAATTAAGAACAGGGTTATGTCATCATCAAACACAGGGACATGTTCAAAACATAGCTGCTAAGTTATCACTTATTAATGTGTCAGGAAGAGATTACTGGTCAGTTTGTCCACCATGCACTTTTACAACTGCCTTTTTATTTAATCCTCACTGGGACCCAGTGTGGGGCTGTTACTGCCTTAATTGAACAAATGAGGAAGTGACAGCTGAAAATTGGTGTGACTTGCCCAGGGCCACACAACTCTTTTGCAGAAGTTCCCCACTGAGCCTGAGAATTCACCAGAACAGAGAACAACTGTCATTTTTTTTTTACAGATTCATTTTTAAAGACCTACTTGCACTAGTTTCTTAAAGGGATAACCCCATTATTGACAAAAAACAGAGGAGTCTGGTTGGCTTCACTCTTACCCCAAGACAGTAAATTCACAGCCTCTGGAACAATAACAAGCAAGAGATACATGTGATGGCAGGTAGCAAAGGTTACAGAGACCCATTCTGGAGCTTTGCACACATCCTGTGGTCAAAAACAAATCTGTGAAAATGGCAGTTGTTCTCAAATCCCCAGGTTCAGTGGGGAGATTTTGCAAGAGAATTGTATGGCCCTGGAGGAGTCACACCAATTTTCATGAGGCCTGGGGGATCATTTCTAGCTAGATGAGTGGAGAGATTTGGGTTTGAACCTCAACTGCTCCAAACCCTGACATGTGACCTTAGCAGAGTCACTGTCATCTCCTCTGAAATGATTCCATCTGTTCCTGAGGTGATCAGGAGCCTCCAAAGAAACAGTGCAACCTAAGGGCCTAGCCCAAGGACCTTCTCATGATGCTTCTGTAAGAACATCTCACTTCTGGGCTCATAAGCTTCCCAAACTGTCCTGTTTATGAAAAACAAACAAACAAACAAACAAACAAACACCCTAAACAAAGCAGAAAACCTTGTCAGTCTGTAAAAGGTCTAAGCAATTCTGTTGTTGCTCCATGTTGGCTCCTTAAAGCTAGCAGGTCTAGGCTAGAGGAGAGAGAGTTCCCTGGAGAGACTCTCCAGGGCTGAGCAGGATGATGAGTGTCAGCGGCCCAAAGAAACACTCCCGGCCGGGAGTCTTGTTGAAGCAGGAATTCAACTTTATTGTATCAGCCTCTCGCTTATACAAACTCAGAGCATAGGGAAGAGGAGCTTTGGTGGGGTGAGATGATGTAGGGGGCAGAGAAGGGTGACAGAGAGTATGGGGTCACTGACAGGGCCAATGGCAAAACTCACATCAGCAATGGCGGGGCAGAGGCAGGGCCAAACAGGTTCTGTTGATTCACCCCAATACAGAAGTGACTAAGACAGGTCTCAAACTCGAGCCAGGCTGGGGTGTGTCCAAAAGGCCCAAACCAGGGCCAAAATGGAGCCCAACAGCCCCATATAATGAGGTATTGTGTAGTATATTCAATAAGCTAAGATAATAATAATAATAATAATAATAATATACTTAGTAAACTAGATAAATCATCTAAGTTATGATTAAAAACAAGAGGAGTAAGTATATTATTGATTGACATAATATCTCTATGAATTATGAATGAAATGTGATGTTTGATTGATATGTATTTTGGGTATTAAGAAGTGATCAAGTCAAGATGATTAAAATATCCAGCACTTAAAAAAAAAGGTCTAGATGGTGGTTTATAAACTGACTCGATTTTTTTTTCTTAAGTGAACAGAAAGACACTGACTGCCTGCTGTTTTAATAACAAGGCCTAAATTACTCTGCCAGGATGCTAAGAGTGGAACAGCAATGAGATTTAAGCTCCTTTTTGTGGATTAAGGATTTGGAAACATGATGATTTTATTAAAAATTCCTGCTAATTTTAGAAATCCCACATTTTCTTATTGGGAGACTAGCAACCACCTAGAAGTTTCACATTAAATGCCTAGAGTTGAAAAGAAGCAAATAAGAGTTTTCCAGAAAGCACAAACTTTGTGGCTTTTATACCAAGACATTTGAGTCATTTCATTGTCCCAATCTGGCCTCTTCGAATGTCACAGGAGGCTGGAAGGGACAGACAAGGGCTTGGCCTAGACAATCTCCTTTCTCTAGCTGTG